CTGTATCTACTACATAATAAACTTGAGTTATGATTACAGGACTCAACTATCACTGAACTGAAATTCAGCACAAATCACATGACTATAATAATAATAGTAATAATATTAATAAATATAATTTTGATAATTATTATAATAAATACTAATAATAATAATAGTAATAATAATAATAATAAATAATAATACCTAATTGCAATTGATCACCCTTCGGTCAACCATACAACACTATCACCAACATGTGCATCCCAATAGCCGATCATCTATCTATGCACAAAATGGCTGCTCTTCGTCCCCATCACCCATACCTTATTTTATATATTAACACTAATTTCAAACACATTATAACTACCTGAAGTATTGAGCATAACTAGTATCATGTGATAGAGCCTCTAAATGATCCTCTTTCCCGACTAAATCAGCAAGTAAGTGAGACAGCATTTCCAGCACCTTCTTTTAGTGCCTAAAGACCCCTTAACTCGATCAAGCCTAACTTGAACTGGTCCTTGTCCTCTTTGAGAGTAAAATGTAACTCAATTTGGTACCAAAATCCCTCTCTGCCTGTGTTTTTCCTTGAAGAAGCAACATCATCTAGAGCAGACATTCTTACACGTGAAAAAAACGGAAGCCACCATGCCCAGGGTACCGCCTTTTATACTGCACCTTCTTGTTTAAGCAATAAAAGTCATTTCCTGTTCTGTCAGAATGAAGTGATGTAGGGCAGTGCACCAGACCCAAACCCCACCATCCAAATGTCGAAAAGGGGTTGGGTCTGGCTATGCGAGACTAGCTTCACTTTGGTGTGCAACTAATCAGTCGAGCCGCACCCTACGGGAAAACCTCTTCGTTAAGAAGTTTTGTTTGCACAAGTGCAGAGGTGGATCTAGGATTAAATTTTTGAGGGGCCATAATGATATGGGTGGAGTAATTAGTGGGTGTGGTCAACTAGGCCTGCAAGATTTCATTTGGGAAGTCAAAATTTTGAAGATTAGGCCTCTTAAATGAGCTCCTTTGTGGTTTACAGACTGTTTACACAGTCAAGTACTGTAGCTGTTTCACAGTTTACATAGATAAAACTAATTTTATACTTGATCAGAAAAATTTTTTGGGGGGGCCTGGCCCCCCAGGCCCCCCTAGATACGCCCCTGCACGAGTGACTCCCACGCATAGCTATTTTAATGAAATCTTGACTATACTTTTAAAAATAATATTCATTACACAGCCATGAATTCACTCTTAAGATTTTATACTCAATTGGGCAATATAATTTAGTAGGTGGATTCAAAGTATAACAATGTGGTTTTGTGTGGAAGCCCTGAAATTCTTCAGTAAGTAAATTATATAAATTGATATTACAAACCTAGCCCATCATAATAGAGTAAAAGAAAGTACTCT